CACACGGACTCAGTCCCCTGGGGCACGTGGTCTGTGTGCTTCGATCAGCGTTGTCATTCATCATCTAAACTACGTAAATTTTTCATTTCGTTTTTATATGAGCCCAAACCACTGACCGATATGTCGTACGAGTTCGGTTCCTCGTCTAGCCACATTTCTCGCATTTGTGATAACCAGGCATTGAACCCTCTTAATCAAATGGGCAATTGTACAATCAAACCTAAATTCTCATCTCACCTCATAGGTGCGGGGCAAAACACGGAAATTCAAATACAGTCTATCAATATCTGCCTCACAAAGAGAGTCTCTGAACAACAATATCACCTACAATGTGTTAAAACCACTCAGTGCAAACATGTTCATGCGGCCGAATCAATTTTTCACTTCTCAGCAAACCAATCCACAATTTTACAAATCCTGCAGATTTGGAAGAATACACTCAACGCGTTCCATTTTTAAAAAATAGTAATACGCACACACAGCTTACCAGTTAGCACGGGATTACCGTCGACGAAAACAGGATGTTTCGAGAAATTAGCGAGCCAGAACGTGCCACTCGTGGCGAGACGAATTCGACCGTGACAGCGTGAGACCCGAGTACTATCGCCTTCCCGAGACAGGTCGATATGGGGCTGATAGACTAGTGAACTTCGACCGAAAGTCACCTGTAGATGAGAGAGCACGAGAGGTGAACATAAACTGTAAAATGCCATCCGGTTCGCATTCTTTAATGAAAGAAAAAACTACAGCAATTGCATACGAAGGAAGTCCATGGGGGGATCTATATTTAGGCCTAACTGTTTTCGTCAAAATAAACTATACACTTCCTACTTAACTGAAGTTCCCATCCGGTTTAAGCAATTCTGAACCTTGGAAACTAGTTCTACGGTTGTAATGTTTTGATTCTGCAATTGGTCATAGAGAAAAACGAAAACAAACGAATTCAACAGAATATAATCCAACTGAGAGATTATTACGTTAAATGTTACTGTCCGACAGCCGCTAGAGCATCGTCATGCCTATCAAAGGCCAACGATCGTTGCATTCNCGCGCGACCTTCGACTCTGTCGATGGGACCGCACTATGAAATTGTTTGTTGATAACTTGATTACCTGAGAAGTATGTATCGATCCTCAAACAGTTGTATCGGCATACCTCAGGTCGGATTAAGGTCTATGGTCAGCTTTCATCACTCTTCGCCGTCTCCAGTGGAGTTTGACAAGGTTGCCCTAGATCCCCATTCCTTTTCAACTTTGGCATAGAGGATGTTCTTCAGAATGTTTTGTTCGGTTTAGCAAACGGTGTAGTTGAACTTCTCCCGTGGAACGGTCCTTAACTTAAAATATGCCGATGGCATCGCCCTGCTGAGTGACAACACACAGACAGTCCGAGACGCTTTAAACCGCTTGGCAATCGAGGTATCCAGGTATGGTATGTGCTTTGCGCCGTCCAATACAGGCAAGAGCCTGCGCCTGCCCTCACCCTCTGTGGTGATCAGCTAGAACTAGTTGAGAGCTTTAAGCACCTCGGGAGCTCGATCGCAGCTGGTGCCGGTGTTGGAGAGATCACATCACGAATAGCGAAAGCTAGAGCAGCTTTCGTCAATCTGTGACACCTGTGGTGCCGTCATGACATACGACTGTCCCTTAAGGGAAGGGAAGAAGCTGGGTTCAGTTTTGGCTTCAAGGTGGGCGTCTTCCAGGTTGGCGCCCAAGGGATGACGATTGTCGTTGGTTAGAGACGCCAAGAGGTATTGCCCAGAAAAGAAGTCAGTGGTGCGAATGGTGTGCGGTTTGCCAATTGAAGTCTCGTGCCTCATAAAAAATGATAAACAAACACACGGCTGCCCATTTGGATGAACATTGGGAGAAAGACAGGAAAGGTTGAAACTAGGATCGAAGAGAAAATTGAAAAGTTCAGTGGACTAATGATACAGAGAAATTGAGAAGATGCACGAACGCATCTGTTTACGACACCCAGCCATATCACTCAATGTCTCTAACTATCGGTTCCGATCATCCCGGGGTGGGTTGATGTGGATGCATGATAGCTGTCCAATGAATTGCGAAGACTTCTCCCACCATCAAGAGGAAGCCCCAGGTACCCCGCTCCTACGTCCATCTAGCGGGGGTTTTTCGACCGGTAAACTGCCCCTCACTGTGTTCATTTACTAGAGTGACCTCTCCAGGGGCGGGTGTGGATAGAAGAAAGAAGCCAGGCCTTGTGAGACTGATCTTCTTCTGGCCTCTACCCATTGACCTTTTAGGCATGATTGGATCTGCGGCTGTGAGGAGCCATCCTACTCGCACGGTCATTGAGGCACGCAAGCCATCACACTACGTCGAGGTGCAGTCTCGTCGTGATGGTCAAGTCATACTATATATATATATATACATATGTATATAAAACCCCGGTTTGCGGACAAGCATGGTGCCCACGCCAGAACAATAATAACAAAAACAATAACAGGGGATGGGTGGATTGGGATGCAGAACAGAGTGAAAAGGTGAAACAGTTAAAATGGAAAATACCAACTTGACCACCATGAACCACCATCACGGACGGATCGGGAGTAAAAGTTACTTAATTTTTGTCTCAGCAACCGTCACCTTCAAAACAGCGATGACAGAATATAACCCGGGATTCGGTTTGCGTCCAGATTAAGTGCAGTTAATTCTCGATCAAGGGCCACCACATGAAATCTTCCTACACTTAGTGTAGCATTGAAACGAATGCTGCCTTGAAGTTGTTCATTCTCATTTAGTTGAGCAGGATCGTTGGCGCGTAAGTAGTTTTCAGTTATCAGGGAGCATCTATCAGTAACCGAGTATTTGGACAAGCTAAAAATCAAATCAGTGGCCAGTTAATTCAACTTTTTCCCCGTTACAGGAAAAGAGCTGGTCAGAAATCCCAGTGAACATGATCTCAATCGTTTCTTTTTTTATTTTGTTACAATGATTTTGCATAACTTATCTGGATAGACTGATTCGGGAGGCCAGGGGATGGTGTGTGCACAAAGAGAGCTACGAACGCGAACCCGATTTAGCTACTTATGAGTAGTACAAAGAAGGGCAAAAGTTGAAGCGACGATGTGAAAGTCGAAACTAGAGAGAACGCAGACTCACTTCTTTCTCCTTCAACAAGAATCGGGTACGCGTGCCAGTCAGAGCAGCCAGGACCGGGTAAATAGGTTGTGGATCTGTAAGCTCTAGTCCGCTGGCCGCCCGGATTTCCACGAGTCGAGTCCAACGTTTGGCCTCTTCAGCCGTCCGTCTTAGTCGGGCAAACAGACGTTTACGAAACCGATAGAGTTCCAAACGACGCTGGGAACGTGAAAAAATGAATGGAGGGGATATTATATGTAACCTTTTATAGAAAACAAAAAAAGAACACTGATAGGCAATGAAAGCCTCATTAAAGACATAAGTGAAGTGATTGTTTCACCAGATACCGTAGATGAGATGTGCGAATGATATGATGGCCATAAGAAAGAAGACAACAGAAGAGGTTAAACGCTTCTGAAGTATTATTATTATTGTTATTATTACCACTACTACTGTCGGTTATATTGACAGTAAAATCGGGTGTGGTGGTCTAGTCGTTGTCACTGGTGTGCTTTGGATCTTATTGTCTGAGGTTTGAGCCCAGCCATTACCACCCAGCTTTGCTGTCGTCTGGTTCAATACCACGCCCAACCTATCAGGGCCTTATGTGATTCATCATTTCAAGTCCCGGGATTTAGGTCACCGGTTTCCATCACTGAACAGCGAGAATTCTTAACAATGGGGTTCACCCCGTCTACTGTTCTACACAAACGTGCGTAATAAGAAAAATACTAGGAAGTGGTAGGCTGCTTAAAACCTACGACCAGCGCGATCTGGTGCGTTGATGTGAGAAAGGCTACTTAATTGATTAACCATAAATGCGTTGGAATCGTCTTAGTGAATATTCGGCCGTGGACAATGAGTGGTGACGCCGGAGATAGCGGTGCTTTTTTGGCCGGGAAAACGACCTCCTTGCAACAAAAAACCACAACTGTTCGTAGAAAGTATCGCGCTGCGTGGGAATCTGACAAGCCAATAAATAAGACAATCACCATCATCTTGATGTCCTACAGGCGGTACTAACTGTGAAAGGGTTAGCGTTGCATCCATAGAGACAATGATTCGGGGTTGCGGAGCACACCACTTTATAGTGTATTCTCAAGACTCTTCGTAAATTCAACCATGAAGCCAGTTTATCCACACAAAAGAGGAGGCCACCCGAGGCAAAACTAACTGCACATGGACACAGTAACCTAAGGCGAAATATTTAGCGCTGTGATGCAAGAATAGACCTCAAAAGGCGACTTACCAATTGTTCGTGTGCGAAACTGCACCTAATCTATGCTCCGCAACATGGAATCTAAGAAATCCCATTTCAAGTAATTATAAGAACATGATTGATTGGTCCAAGTTGGCTTGTCGACCCGTGAGGTTTGAAGTTTGAAGCGCCACCAACACCAAAGCACTTGGATGATGATGATGATGATGATGATGATGAAAGGACACCTCGCAGTCGCTAAGCTCAATATCAAATTCTCATCACAGAAGTTTTATTCTATTTTTATCTGTTGGAATTTGAATCATAGTAAAAAAAAATGCCCGCACCAATGTTCATAAACCGTAAATAGTAGAGAAACGCGTAATTGATCTCAAAAAAAAAAACAAATTTATACCCGAAAGTCGAATTCCGAATTGATAGTGGAAGGAGATGACGTTCCGGTGGAAGCTATCAGACGATTAGATGGACCGGGATTTGATCGCTCCAACCCCGCTAATATTGCCCCGGGGGTAGGCCGACCCGCGTGTGAAGGATACCAGCCTCGACTAGAGTCGTCACGATTTGAGTCGATCAACTGATGCGATTGCTGTTGTTGTTGCTGCTGTTTTTCCCGGACCAAGGCCGAAATCACAGATTCAGTCACCAAACTCTGAAATCCGTGATAGGAGGACTGGCCAAGCAATCGATGTCTTCTTGCCGCCGTAGATGGTTCTGTCAGTTTATCCAGTCCAGCTGAAAGTGCACTGGCTGTGGTCTCTTCCAACAAGAGTTCCGTATCTGAAAAACTTTCTGGATCCCCACCCAGCACTGTGTCGTCATTATTGAGACCACTCGCTATCACGGAGTCATCGTGCTTAGCCCCAATAAGACGGAGATCCGCGGCCTGACTTCTTGAACCAGTTACGCTCACATTATCGGTCGAAACTTGAGGCATTGGGGGCAAATTGCCCTCTTTAATCATGTGACAGCTCTGAAAACGACTCCACTGACGAAACAGATCTAATTCGTCACGTCCGGCGAAGAACACGGTCGGATGATCATTGAGGAGCTTGGCAAACACGGATTGACGCTGCAAAGTGGAATCGTGAACAAAATCAATGAAATATATTCGATAAGACAAAAATATGAAGATTAATATTACTATGGTCGTGTTATTTGTTTATTGATCAAAACCAGTCTTCTACCTTAGTCGGAATCGGTGAGATCGAGGAAATGAATCCGACTCAAGCGAAATGGAATGAGTTACATTCGAGATGCGGTGATATATCAACTGGTTAGATGAAGTACAATTTACATTAGATTAGACAGGTGATGAAAGTAGACATGTCTCTGTGAATGAGTTCAGAATTTGATAATTCGAATGTAAAAAGATCAGTGCTATCGGTGCGGCCTCGCAGTTTAGCTGGTAGAGCGTGCGCTGTACAAAAGCGTGAGTGGTGTCCATGCGTGGGTTCGAATCCCACCGAGGGTACTTAACTTTTCACAATCTCAATACAAGATGATACGATTGTAATAATTGGTATGCTCGATGTTTGTGTGTGTATTAGAGGGGGGAGATGGGTGTGGGACTGTGGTTATCAAAGGGGAAATGTGTGAATTAATGGGTTTCTGAACGCAGGTTACATCAACAGATTGTTAGTGGATGGTTGTGGTAAAACCGGTGTTTTGATCAACCCGGGTGTGTGAGCTGATTAGCACAGTGGTAACACACGTCTATCACACGAGGAGTTCATAGTGCGAGTCTCGGATCGACTTGTGGATATGTCTCCCTGTAGAGTTGTGACGGGAGCGAACACACAATTTGGCTTCAATGTCAGGTAAACTGGATGAACTGTGCGTGAAATCCGCCCAATCCATTCATCTGTATTCGGATTAGGAGAGAGAAAAAAGTGTTGATAAACCAGTCACACTGTATTGTGAACAAGTTGTATGAATCTCGCCTCGGAATCAATTTGTCACCCCATACCCCATAAACATCTATATAATGTCCATTTGTGTAATTCGCATGAAGTAACTGATGATATGAGAAACAAATGTCGCTGCAGCAGACATCTTGCATAACACTACTGGCCTGTTTCAAATTCATTCGGGGAAATCATTGCTCCCAATTTTAATTTTGACTGAGGCTATATTCATAATATCAATCCCATTGAAGCACAGACACAATGGGTTCCTATCAATCTCTCTCATATAACACACACACACACACACACACACACACACGCACGGGTTGGAAAATTAAATACTTGCCAAGTCTGCCGTGGACAATGGTTTGGTTTCACCGTCCGGGAACACATCCATGATGGTAATTTGTGCGATTAGAGCATCCTCGCGGTCGCTGAAAGGCAGCAACCGGTTCAGTTTGGCCTTAACCAGAGGCGGCAATCGGGCCATTGCCTGGAGAGCAGTTCTTCGGGTAGAGAGAGAGAGAGAGAAAGACAGGAGACAAACAGAATTTAATTCCCCTGGGGGGGGGGGATTGAACTGTGGTCATACGATAATTCTACATTGTTGTGATGGAATTTCACACATCTAGCTGCTCGGGAAGATGATGATCGAGTGCATGAAGCGAGACTGTAACCAAATACGTCAAAACACGTAGTCAATTGTATAGAATTGGCAGATGTGCCACAACATATGAAAGAGATGTGGAAAGAGTTTAAATGTAAACCAGCAAATAAGAGTCTCGCAACAGGTGCGCCATCGACGCCGATTATCGGTCGTCTGCAAGAGTCTCAAGCCATAGATGTTCTCTGTCCTTGGGACCACAACCTGGGGGTTCAAAGCGTCCTACAACTGCCAGTTATGAGGTTGGCGCCTTCAATGTTCAAGCTCAGGTTATTCTTTGTCCACCTTGTTGCCGCTTCCAGTTAGTGTCTGCTTGCGAAAACATAACACAATACATCCGCAACACACGTCCTAGCCATCGAAATCTCTGAAGCGAGATGACGGCACTCAGAGAACGACTAAGATTGTCTGCGGTGAAGATTCTTCAGTGAACCTCGTCGTTGGTGACTCGCTGTTGCCAACGTATTCTGGCAATGTAACGAAGGCAACGGTGGTCAAAGACACTTAATCTCCGTCGGTCTTCTGTGTGGAGGGGCTAACTCTCGCAGCTGTAGAGTAGGACATCGCAAACGCGGCCTTTAAAAGAGAGACTGAGATTGCGTCGGCGCCACAAGTGATGTAGGTTAGCGAAAGCCACTCGAGCCTTGCGGATACGCGCGGATATTTCTTCCGTCAATCCTCTTGAGCTGAAACAGCTCCCGAGATAAGTAAAGTGACTGACGATTTCCAACTGGTCTTTCATGAGCGTGAGGACAGGTGTAGCCTCTTGCCAAGCTTGTAGGAAAAACCTTACATTTCGATGATGAAAATATCACACTGAACTGCGTGACGGACAACGCTAACTTACACAAGACGTTTTGAGCATTCTGAGAGGAGTCACAGAGTAAAACGAGGTCGTCAGCAAATTCCAAGTCACCGAATCAATCAATTGGGAGGAGCTCCACACCGGAAGCGCTGCAGTTTTCTAGAGCGATGCTTAGGACTTTGTCTATTGCGAAATTAAAGAGGAAGGGCGAAGCCTGGAACCCTTGTCGGATTCCGCTTGTGATGTTAAATGAAGTGCAGATGCTATCATAGACCTTGACACGGCCTGATGTGTTTCAGTAGTCGGTTTTGAGAAGGTTTATATACTTCTCAGGCACACCGCTCCCTAGCAGACAAGTCCAAAGAGCTGATCTGTCAACTGAGTCAAACGCAGCACGCATGTCCAGAAACACAACGATGATCGGTCTACTGAACGTTTGACGTTGCTCAAGGATCTGGCGTAGCGTAAATATTTGATCAACGCAACTCCGGTCAGGGCGGAATCCAGCTTGTTCTCCTCGGATATGACGCTCTCCCGTCCAAATGAGCCTGCGAAGGATCAACGGCGTTAACATCTTGAATGCAACAGAGATGAGATTAATCCCTCGGTGATCGGAGCAATCGTGGCGGGGACGTTTCTTGAAAACAGGTACGACGTCCACCATGCTCCATGCGGATGGTATAGATTCAGTATTCCAGATGATTTAGAGTAAGGAAGTTAATTCTCGGACAAAGCTTGACCAATCGTCTTTGGGAAGGGCTGGAGGGAGCTCATCTGGGGCGGGCGATTTGTGACGTTTTGAGAAGTCTGAGATCTCGGGAGACTTTTTCCTCTGTATGCACAAACCATGGAGCACTACAGATATCAGGAGATGGAGGTGATGATGTGTATGGTCAAATAAAATATTGATGGAAATGATCTCTACTAACTTGGTCACCCAAACAATATTCTGAGACATACGGACAAGCTGATTGTTTGGTAGCATATAAACGTTCCGAAATCCTCAGTATGGTCGGGGCTGGGTATCTGCGGCTGCGGCTAGTCACCCGTCCCTTGCATCTCGCAAAATGCCTCCATAAGACCAAGCGTCTCAAATATCCTCTGCTAAAGAAGTCCTACTCACTGCCTTCTCGTAGAGGAGATGTTTTCCCACCAAAGTGAGAGGACGAATAGCCGATATATGGGGCTATAACCGGGTTAGTGAACCACTGGCAATTCACCCAGGGGAGTTGCCTAAAAACTTGATTCCAAACAAACCTAGAGGTGTACGAACCACACCCACACCTTTCCGGTTGTGGCAATAGTCACCGGTTCGATTGGGCATCGAGGTGTATCGGGCACCTTGAACGTTTGACACTGTCCGAAAGGTGTATGATCCGAACTGCACACCGACTCCTAACGAATTGCGATTTTCACACACCGCCCCGCTGCATTGCGGATTAGGGTCAGGAATCAAAATCAATTCTGGAGAAACGGAGGCACGTTTAAGAGAGACTGAGAGGAGGGAAGTTTTGGAAGCATTGAAACACACATGGTTGGTAGAACCGCATGCAGAGATTAGTCCGAGATTGGAGGTAAGGGAAGCATGACATTACAATGGTGATCAATGCTGGCATGAGCTTGGCGGATTGTGGGATAAGAAAGAGAACAATGGAGAGTGGCATCATCGGCAGAGCAGGGGATGGGATTAGAGGTTTGGGTGGACGAAAGTATGGAACCTTGGGTAACACCGGCGTTCACAGGAAACGGTCGAAATAGGACCCCATCACCAAACGGAATTCTGAGCCAACTGACCCAGTGAAGTTATTAGATCACAGTCTCAGAGTTGAGGTTCCTGTATGGTACATCACCANCAATCCTATGATCACTCAGTCCAAAACACGATGTAAACAAAGACAATTCGATTGGTAGGTACCAGGTTGAAGAATTCGATTGGACCTAAGAATACGGGTTTGGTCGAAACCCGGGGGGCATGGCAACAAACTGATTACACTACTACTACTAATAATAATAATAGTAGTAATAATAACACTAAATATAATGCGAGTGGCGATGAATGACAAATGACTTCGTTCAAATCAATACCTCGAAACCACTGGGTCGAATAGCAGAGCACGCCAGCGTGCTTCAACCTGCTTTTCCGTAAATTGTGAGGCGAAGCGGACGGTTTGATGTACTTCGGTTAGATTGCACGTCTGAGGAGAGGGGAAACCAAAGGAAGGGTAAAGAAAAGTTGATCAAATTGGTAAACCAAAGCCATTTTTTATTTCCACCGACTTGGGGGAGGGGGTTGGGTCGGGATGAGATGGGACAATTTGTCCGAGTAAAGGTATGGTGCATGACTTGATATCTGATAGAGAAAAATTATTTAACGAGCATGAACAAAACAAGTGAAGAAATCACTTTATGCAACCCGCGGGATGAATATTCAGCAACCACAAATAATGATTAATACATATAGCACATGTGATTTACGAATGGCTGGACAACAACAGAAAACCCAATAGCATTTATACTCAGTTTACATTAGTAGTATCTTGCGCGAATGACCGCAACGCGTTCGTATTTTTTGTGAGAAACCTAACGGAACAGTAGACCGCCCGTTCAGCGGGAAAATAACTGAGCTGGTTTGGGTGTACAATGTCAAAAGTGGGAAAGGCAATGAACAGGTGCGCTGTTTCGATCTTTAGAATAAATGAAATGAACAGAACAGTTAGGAAATTGAATTTGGTTTCAGTTTGTGGATGAGTATGATTGTTTCAGACAAAGGAACGGAGAGAAGAATGTATTAGTTTCAATTCAGTTTGAGATAACCATGCACTTCCGTGTCGCGTTTTTGATTGCTGTACTTGGCGACCCGTTTGAATGAAGAAGTAGGCAGAATATTGAAATATGAAAGGCAGTGCGAATGTGAGTGTTCACGAGAATTCATGTAGAGTAAGCATATAAAAAGAGATTAGGAAAATGGATGCACGCCGCTGCTTACCTCAATCAGTCATATCACTCAGTAGTTTTGACCATCAGTTACGATAATCCCTAAGTCCCCAAGCGGGGTATCTAACGCGAATTGCATAGCCAAGTCTCCTGGCCAGAGTCTTTATACCCTAATACTAGTCCATACTTTGATCACCGTCAACCTTTAACTAATCACCAGCTGCCTCGGATTATGCATGGCACACCGCGGCAGTCTATTGGATGACATGCTTATCACATGACCCTGCCCAAAATTCTACGACTTAAATTAGTATTGCTTGTCCGGTTTCCCCACCAAACTGAAAGGTAAGCATGTTTGCTAACACAAGTCATTACAATACAATACAGTGGAGTTCGAACACCGAGGGTCTATCTTTATCCTGTTTTCAACACGAATAGGTATGTTCATCATACATCAGCACCAGCTGAAATGCTGAAGCATGCACTCGACCCGTTCACAGATAACCGAATGTGGTGGGATCACCACAGATGTTTCAAATTTTCAAACACCGACTAAACCCTTCGATTTGCAAGTCAAAACTTCATTCACGATTTGTTCGTCAAGTGAGATCTTAACTGACAAAACGGCAAAATTTATCCACTTAGTTCATGGTTTCCCCAGTTGTGGTGAGGTTGGAAGCTGGACCAAACCAGTGTTGTAGTGTCATTTCACTCTCTGAATTTGCAAAATGAAAGGGGAGGGTAATAAATGAAAGAAATGTTCCACGGAATCAATATTCGGGTCAGAAAGACTACGAACGTTGGTTGACATGGTCAGATCGCGATTTTCTCCCCGTGAGTAGTCATAATTCGTGCGGGATAAGCGGAAACCGGTAGTCTAAGCAGAGGGCTTGGGGTGATGTATGGTTTCCTTCCCCGCCCTTCACCCATTGGATGACAACTTTTGCGTCACTTCCTTCTAGAAGACTGTTTTTTTATTTTCACGTGAAAATTATTTCTTCACATCTTTCTACCACAATAAAAGACTGAAAACAACAATCTTGAGCACCGCAGTTACGTCTGGAGTAGGTTATTATTCTCTTCTTCGTCGCGTTCAACGTAAGACTATCCTTCACACTTGTGAGCCAAAACTGGCTTCTTGCATGCAGTGGTGACTGATCTGACACAGAGCTATCGTTTCAATCCCTACCTCGATTGGCGACGAAACGGTTTTTTTTAATTACACACTGGTGTGTGATGCATAGCAGACGAGATGGAGCACCGTAGTCACGAAGACCTGTTGCCCAGTGATGGTAACCGACAACCGACAATCCCTGGGACTTGGAGTGGAGAACCACATAAGACCCCGCTAGGTCAGACGTGGTATTAAACCGTGCGACAGCAAAGCTGTCTACCACCAAAGTTGGGTGGCGGTGGTGGGGCTCAAACCTCAGACAACAGGACCCAAGGCACGTCGGTGACAGCGACTACACCACTGCATCAGCGCCATTGCAACTAAACTGTGAATCTCAGTGAACAACTGAATACCAAGTTATGATATCCGGGTAACAAAAGTAACGGTTACAATCGTTGTCTATAAGACTGTTATTATGTATATAAAATTCCCTCAGCAGCTAGGTCTGTATTCATGGTGAATGAGAGAAAAAACAGCAGCCAGAATGAGGACACTACCAAACATAACTACTTTTGTATGGCAGTAGTATAGGGTGCGGTTTGGTTATGTGATGAATTCGTTGTGTGAATGAAGTGTGAGCTAAAAAACTAGGAAGCACTGGAGAGCTGTTTCGACCGTTTCGGGTCTCATCAGTAGTGCGAGTCCGATGGGTAGCATGCCTGCGCTCTCTACCTGCGAGGTCCCAGTTGCGTCGATGGATTTGCACTGTGGATGAGACCCAACCAGGTCGAAACAGCTGTCCAGTGTTACCTCGCTTTTCAGTTCACACTTTATCTCCACGACATGCGTTACGCATGTCACCAGATAGGTTACCACGGCGATCGATGTTTGTCGAGGCAGGTAGTGGGTGGAATAAAGCCCAGGGCGGTCAAGCTAAGACCTGGCATGAGGGCATGAAAACCCTAAACAGGAGACTGAGTCACATAGGTCCTGTTAGCCTCCCTGGATGGGGACCTCGGGATGATCGGAACCGATGGTTAGAGACACTGAATGATATGGCTGGGTGTCGTGCATCTCTTTAATTTCTTTGCAACCTTAGACCACTGCACTTTTCCATTTTCTGTTCGACTCCACTTTCAACTTTCCTTTCTCCTATTTTTCATCCAAATGGGCAACCAAAACCGGCGCACAAATATGCGTGGTTAATGGTTGTACAAACTGAAAAGTCAACTCAGTTACACGACGAATTCATCACATACAGCCAAAAACTATTTTTGGTTTAGCCTGAATTAAACGAAATATGATCATCAGACTAATGAACGAGAAAAAAATATTTGATCACTCCGAGCCGTTGTGTACATGCGGAGAGATGGGTAAGTACTTACTAAAAGCACCGAATGAATCAACAGATAATCGTCACCCGGAAGCCATGTGATATTCTTCGGTTCCTTTTTTACTGTGGCAACAGGTGCGCGAGCAGATCTTCTACCCACGTGACTTTTTCGTTTGGAACGAGAGCGAAAATAAGAACCACCAACACGATGCAAATTGGGCAGATAATGCTGCACGGATGATGCGTTGCTGGAATGAGGAAAATTCGAAAACCTACCGTTTTATACAGACCAAACGGTCTGGATTTACGCGTTCCAGTGAATTGAGTACTCATGCTCACAGTTCCTTTCGAGAGCAAGACAATGAAATGAAGAATGGAGAAAAAAATTATGTAGTCCTTTATTACACAGCAAAGTAATTCAATCAAAAGACGAGTTCGATTAGAGGTCACGTCACCTTTACTGGCATACACCTTGTGTCCTAAAGTCCTAGGTTCAAACACTGTCATCGCCACCAAATTTCGGGGGTAGACAGCCTCACTGATGTCCAATTCAATACCGGTTGTACTGAGTGAAAAAAGATCCTTCTAACTATGAGATTCGAACAAATTAAATGGTAAAACACCCTCACATGCTAGGTTTGTCACTTTCTCATCAGCAAATTCATTTCAGCACAAGGGTTGTCCACAAATTATGCTTTTCTATTCAAAAGGCAGAGACGAGTTGCAATCAAACGATGGCATTCAAACCCGCTAGCGTTGTAAAAAAAACATTCAATTAATGACAACAAAAACGCTTAAAACTGGCTTGAAAAATAAACATCGCATCAATGACGCATCAACATCGAAAAGCCTCAGTATGGTCGGGGCTGGGTATCTGCGGCTGCGGCTAGTCACCCGTCCCTTGCACCTCGCAAAATGCTTCCATACGACCAAGCGTCTCAAATAGCCTCTGCTGAGGAAGCCCTACTCACTGCCTTCTCGTGGCGGAGGTGTTCTCCCACCAAAGTGAGAAGAAGAAAAGCCGACATACGGGGCTATAACCGGGTTAGTGAACCACTGGCAGTTCACCTAGGGGAGTTGGCAAACACCCTGAGGAGGCGTACGAACCACACACGCACACACACACACACAACTTCGTGGTTTTGGCAGTGGTCGCTGGCTAAATTCGGCATCGGTGTATTGGGAATCCTGGACGTTTGACCCCATCGGAAGGGCGTATGCTCCGATGAACTGAATGAACACCGGCCCCCCAATGGATCGCGGTTTTCACACACCGCCCCGCTGCCTTGTGGGTCAGGCTTTGGCTAGCCGAAGGCTCTGGTTGTGGATTTCCCAAGAAAATTCACCTGCCTTGGGCTGGGCAACCTGGCAGTATTCCGCCAACATGCAAATCACAGGACGTCTTTCTTTTTATAAAGATTATTGTGCCATGATTTCTTTGGCACACAGTCTCACCTCAGACGTGTCAAATATAATATACTACATTAACGTGGTTTGATGGCTTGTGTACCTCTGTGACCTAAAGAGCTACACAGGATGGCTTACGTTGAGTCAGACTTACTCATATCTTGAAGGTCAATGGGTAGAGGTCAGACAAAGTCGCCTCCTGGTCCTTTAGATTGGGAGTTCGAATTGAGTGGTTTCTCAGTCGGTAAAACGTGTTGTGGAGTAAGTGATCCACGTCAATGGGCCTCCAATCCGCCTTAACCGCTGCCTTGCAGTTAGGTTCTTGTCACAACTTAAGGCTTTCGTTGACGTTGCAAATATCAATAAAAACAACATCAAACCCTCACGTAGGCTTAAAACCTAAACGATGAATATCATCGACCTCGGTTGCCCTGCTGGAAGCCCGCAGAACCCTTCCTCCGGATGCCACATACGACACAGCGCGCAAATCCCGTAAACGCCAGCTCATCAAGAGTCTGAGGAATGACCGCGAGAAATGGTGGGTAGAAAAGTGTAAAGAGATGGAGAATGCTGCGGCTATTGGTAATAGTCGTAACCTTTTCCATCTAATTAGGAATACGGGTCCTAGGAAAATAGGCGTAAGTGAGATAATTTAGGAATCCGATGGCACACTGATTCACGATCAGCAACACCGTCTTGATCGATGGGCTGAACATTTCGAGGCTCAGTTCAACTGGCCCCATCGACATCTGAACTATCACCCTCCACCGCGACTGCGCAAATACTCCCAGTCGATGCCAGTCCTTCATCTGAAATGGAGATTTCCCGGGAAATAAGCTATCTCAAAGGTATAACGCTTCCGGCCCCGACGGGATCTCTCCATCGGTTTTTAAGGATAAAGGTTTAGCATTGGTTTCGGTGTGGGAGGGGGAGTAGGTTCCAGCTGAATAATGTGAATCGGTCATCATACCAATTTACAAGAAGGGCGACAGGTCCTCTTGTGAAAACCACAAAGGAATTAGTTTAATTAACTTTGTTTCCAAACTCCTCGCTGGTATTATACTCCATCGATTGTCTTCCGCACGTGAAGAGTGCACGCGTGAGAACCAGGCTGGTTTTAGACCTGGTCGAGGTTGTATCGACCACACCTTTACTCTCCATCAAATCCCAGAACACAGACACTTTTAGTAGATCTACCATTTCCATCTTCCTCGACCTGGAAGCGGCTTTCGACTCAGTCAACCGCTCTAAACTCTGGCACTGTCTTTCCCTGAAGGGTGTGCCCGACAACTTTATCTCAATATTACAATTCCTCTGTAATAATAGCCGAAGCCGAGTCCGAGCTTACGGCAATTTTTCGCCCGAGTTCACCACGGAAAGTGGTGCTCGTCATGGTTGCTCTTTCTCTCCATTTCTATTCAACTGTTATAGATTTGATTATGGAAACAGTCCTATCCTCGTGCGAGGATAACGGTAGCGATTTACTTCCAGGAGGCAAACTGCCTGATCTGGAGTATGCAGACGACATTGTGATAGAGTGAAAGTCCAGGTAAGTTAAAAGCTTTTCTGGAAAGTCTGAGTGCTAGTGTAGCCATGTTCTGTATGCGTTTTACGCCTTCAAAGTGCAAAATGTTACTACAAGGCTGGGTCGGTCCAGCACCTAGCACTCTAACTGGGGAGGTAATAGAGCAGTGGGATAAGTTTTGTCACTTGGGCAGCTACATCTCACCCGGTGGACGCATCACGGATGAAGTGCGAACAGCAAGCAGGACCCCACCAGGTCGCTGTTGCATCGACCAAATCTTCACTTTGCGTCAAGTCCTCGAATTGCACCACACACATCGTCGACCACGATCGCCGTGTTCCTTTACCTAAAAGGAGTCTTCGATTCAGTTGACTGTGAAGCTCTTATTGGGTCGCTGCTTCGCAAAAGAATGCCACGGAAGTATGTAAACCTATTGCGGTCGTTGTACCTGCATGCACCTGGTAGCATAAGGGTCTATAGTTGGCTACGTAAATCGTTCGAAACCAGGAGCGTCGTTCGTCAAAGGTACCCTCTCTCGTCATTCCTGTTCAATTCGTAGACAAAATACTGAAGAACGCACTTAGTGGTCTCCAAAATGTTGGTATTGAATGGGCAGCTGGAGAAAAGCTGTGCGATTGGGAATACGCTGACGACAGCATTTGCCTGTTCGAAAGTATGAAGGATGCACCAAGCGTTCTTAACAAAATTTCAATTCCTGTAACCTCGTTCGGTATGTGCTTTGCACACTCACAGTGAAAAGTGACGCTACAGGACTGGATGTTGTCTACCCTTGGCATCATCATCATCATCGTACAGCGAGCTTCACTGATTGCTGCCAAGCTCACAATGTACACAAATCAAATGATAAAGCAAAAGATGGAGAGGNTGGAGAGGGATTGGGCCTACTAGGAGGGAGGCAAAGAAAAAGAACCTATGTTCAACACACAGAGTGCACAATCTAAGTGTTCATGCATACCTTTTCAAGCATTCTGCCTTGTTAAGAAATGACAACAAGAGCGTCAATGCTGTCGGCCAGTCGTCATATCCTTTAATGTCTCCAGCCAACCAGT